TTTTTTTTGCGCACAGTGCGCGACTCCCTCGGCGCGCGCACCGAGCACAGCGGACCGCACTGCGTACTGTGCACACCGCACGGCGCACAGTGCGCGCGCTGTCGTTCCAGCGCACAGCGCAGTGCGCACCGCCCCGCCCCGCTCTGCGCACTGGTGCGCCGCAACTATGGTTTGATCGCTTTGTATTTTCTCCAGGGGATCTCTACGCTCTCTTTGGAGTTGGAAAGTAGTAAGCCTTGCCATCTCTTACTGATTTCTGGTGGGGGGTCCATGGTTTTCAGACCAGTTCATAGCCAAATTTGACCGTGTACTCTGCTACGGGGAGATGCCTTCACAAGCTTCTCTTTCATTTCCTCCTATTGTTATGAAAGCGAAGAAACGAGATACATCCAATGATATCCAGTCAGCCATTCTCTTTGACCAACGACCATATTGAATACAGGAAAGGCATGTTGGAATTTGGGAATGCCCGAAAGTGGGGCGTCTGTGAAAGGGCCACGGAGGGACCATGGTAGTGATCGATGCCAGACATGACGAAGCGTCCTATGGAGAACACAGATTTGATTGATCCTTCACACGACATCCATCCAGGTCGCAGTTGGCAAGCCTCTGCCAGCTTACTTACAGTCGCTAACTAAGGATCTCCTTGAGAGTTCCTCCAGCCATGGGAGACTGCTTGTTGCTCGGGTTCAAACCCTGTTGAGAGAAAGAAAGACACTAGACTTATGGCCATCCCCACTCCCCAGTGTTCGATGTTCATGCTAGGAGAGCACAATCCGGGCTGCTATACTACGAGCTTCATACTTTCCAAGTCCAGCCAGCAAAGCCAGCATGAACCAGGCTGCTATTTCAACCAGGTTTAAGGTTTCCAAGTGTGAGGAGAGCACGGACCTTGCTCGTCCAGTTATTAACGATCAGCAGAACTCACCATTCTCCTGAGGAATCTCTGGGTCCACTTCTGGCTGAGCCTCAGTGACAGACCGTCCTTGCAATATGGTGTTGCTGACGTGCAAATCCAGTCCAATCAGCACAGCCAGCACATACTGCAGAAGCAGTGTCCCTGGTTGTTTATCCTTCTGCAAGCCAATGACCTTCCAAAATTCCTACAGCCACACACATGCATCCCACACATACGTGTATGCTCATCAGCGCATGCAAAAGGATGCAGCAAAGACACAAGCTTGTGTGCAGTGAGGAATATTTATTCACCAGTGACCAGAGTCCAACCACAATCAGCCTTTTGCTCCCCAGGTGTGGTCATTACCCCAAAATAGAAGAGACTTTCTCAAAATTTTGAAAAAGAAAAAATGGAGAGAATAGGTTCTTGCACTCAATATCACCTGAAATATGAGAAGTCCTCAACAGCAACATTTTCCTAGAAAGATCTCAGACAATCAACTCTCTTCTCATTTGCTGTTTCTCGCATAACCTGCATGAAAAAAGTGTTTGAACATGCCCCTACATGAAGGCAACTCAAACAAAGTGAAAAGAAGGAGAGAAAAAGAGATGAACCAGGGACAGAAGAGAGGCACAGAGAACGAGAATCACCCAAAGTACATGAAATATTCAGAGAGTCCTCCTTGAATCAATCCCACTTCAGCAGTTTTGACATCAATGGAACTCGGTAGTTGAAACACTTCCAGTCACCCAGGGACGCTAAATGGGCTTCGCACCTACCATCACCCTCATGCCGGCAGATTGCGCCTTTGCAAGGCACATACAGACCACCAGGAGTACGAGGTAACTCTTATACCACTATCACATGCGTTATTCTTCATTATCATTTATTCATCCTCGCCAATGTGTAAACACTATTGTACTACTGCCCCACGCATCCTCAAGAATGCCATGTGGGATGCTCCTCTAGTCTGGCTGCCTGATGCTCCGACACAATTAGGGCCTCATGCGTGGTAGGATCGAACCGTGGCATGTGGTGATCGTATCATCATTCCACTCCTTACAGATGTCCCAAGGGAAGATGTTATTTTCTTCTAGGCACAGAGATTCAGGACATGATAAACAAAATACCATCCACACACTACGTATTGTGTACTAAATTTGACAGTACTTGAGAAGTTGAGATACATCCCCTCTCCCCGAGAGTCACAAGCAGTTGTCCAGGGTTCAACCAAGAAGATGGACTATCCGACTATGGCCACCTGCCCCACTGAAAGGACTGACATGTGCTGGGGATAGATAACACGATCCTGACTGTGGCCGCCTGCCCCACCAATAAGATGGACTCTCACAGGCTTCAACTCTCAGGCTTCAACCTGGACTACCGTCTTCACCCGAATAGAACACCCGGTCATCATCGCTTTGTCTAAACTGTCCCAAATGCAGCTATAATTACTGAGCGGCCGGGACTCTATTCGGGTGCAGAGTCTGCACACGGTACTGGACCCTATGCTATATGGGTTTTACCTGACTGCACAGATGAAACTACTGGATCTGGACAGGGTTTGTCCTACTGAGTCTGCATTGCCATGTGCCGAGACTGCAGTTTCCTTGCAACAATAACATCTTCCAAGACTCAACATCTGAACACTGAACAGTGATTATGGTCGCCTTTTTAACCCCTTCCACCTCACACAACTTGAATTGGTTTTTGAGTCCCCTAAACCACGACCCTGATTCCCAGGCTTGGGGCCATCCGCAAGGCTGCCTGCCGCAAGTTTCATACGAGAGTGGTCCAATCACCCTTCGGGGATCAGTGACTGAGTTAACTGGTCGGCTCCACAACAGTCAGTGGTCTGGTGCTGATAAGAGCAGACACCACTAGCACTCCTGGGGAGGCTCCATGTATTGGTTGGGAGCAGCACCTGCTGGAAAGCGGGTCCAGCGCCCCTGAACATTTGAAATTGTTGAATGGGACAGACATTTCACTGTGATGACAAAAAGCTGCCTCTTATGCCTAGATGTAGATGAAGGAGATGTATAACTACATAAGAGACGATGTTGTTTACCTACATGGTCCTACCACCTATGATTGATACCCAGTTCATGTAGGCCAACAATCCTCCTTTCGTCCGGGTTAGTCAGTGGAATATCCGAAAGGTCAACACAAGAGAGGCCCAATCAACCCTGAAGGCGCCACAACAGCCTTTAGGGTTGGTGGTAGGCTCCAAGGCAACCCTGCTTTGTTCCTGAACATGTGGAATATGCAGAAGGTCCACACGAGAATGCCCTGCGGAGTCAGTGTGGAGTTTAAGAAAATAACAAATGAAAAAAAAAAGAACGCCGTGCGGAAGAAATGACAAGTGTACAAGCTAAAAAAGGATAACAGCAAAGGTCTGCAATTTTCTCTCAGTGTCCTCTCTCATCGTAACTTTGACATTTTGAAATTTTATGGGTTTGCAATTTTGCAGTAGAGACAAATCAATTTTTGCCCAGTTTCTAGAAGAAATCAAGAATCGGGGAACAGTAGATGGGAGCCTACCGTATCATTGCTGACGTCAAAAGCCGTGAACAGGTACGAGGCAACCGTCCACAGAATAATGAACAGTAGTAGTAGAGGGTTCAACCTTTGAAGTTGCTCTGCCGTGGGGAAGATGAGCAAAACGAACGCGACATATAAGAGAAGCACACCGCCAAGCATGCTGATGTACATGAAACTCCATGCCGAGAGCGCAAAGAGGCACACCTGCCCACATAAGGTGCCAAACACATGAGTAACTTCAAGTAGGAAGCAACCTCTCTGCCCCCGTCCTTTACACCCCCCTCTGGCCTCCCTGCCCCCGGGACATTTGAAGCTTTCCAGCACCCTCGTGCATAAATAATGTTTTGCGACGTCACTTTGATTATGCTGGCTGTCACAAAATTCAAAATGCGCACTTTGCAGAGTTTTTTTTTCTCTCCTCTGAACGTTACTTGCAACTTCCGTTGCATACATCTCTCGAAGTTACAAGGCCGTATTCTCCACACAATTCAGATTCAGACCTTCGCGTTAGTGCCTTCCATTCTATCCTTTGATAGGGCCGAGTCCCAGTCAGACAATGGAAAGGGGAAAAGGCACAGTCGGGTAATGAAAGCGGAAAAGACAAACGCTTGAAAACCTTAGCAGCACTATTCAATTTGAGGCACAGTCGGGTAATGAAAGCGGAAAAGACAAACGCTTGAAAACCTTAGCAGCACTATTCAATTTGAGTTTTCGATCTTTGGAGCAGGCCCCACGGGTGCCATCTTTGTGATAAGTTAGTACGAATCTGGCCAGCTGTAATGACCAGGTTCACGGCAACTTCACGCTAATTTACTGCACATATCGCACCTGGGGCATGTCCCTAATACTCACCTTGAGGATGCACCAGCGCAGAATTCCAAGGTTACACCGTTTCTAGTTTCATTGGGGGATGCAAGACTTCCAGAATATATGGAGAAGCAAAACGAGGGGAACGGAGGTGGGCCCGATGGGGAGCAAAATAACTTGCTTGATTGGGGGAAGAAGTCACCCGACTTCACACAACGAAAATCAACCTCCAAACAATGTGATCTTCATGTGTATTGCACAACTCAATTGATGAGCACAAAATAAGTTGATCAAGTGGCGGAAGAAGTCGCCCGACTTTTGCAAGAATCAAGCTGCAAAGAATGTGATCTTCATGCGTTTTCATTTCACTCAAGTTTTCAACTGTTAAAAAAAAAAAAAAAGGTTTCGTAAGCTTTTTGCAGGTGAGCGGTTCGTCTGTTTACTGTGCGGTCCTGCCGGCCCAAGCTCAATTAGGGCTACTCCCTCCGTCCACGCGCACCAGCAGTTCCTTCCTCTGAGCGAAGCAGCCGAAGTGGAAAAAAAAAAAAAAAAAAAAAAAAAAAAAAAGGATTCTGTGATGATCATGACCAGTTGTCAGAATTGAGATGCTTTCTCATATTACAAGCACAATTCAGAACACTATGATTTTTAGGAAATTTTAGCAAACCATGGCACAGGCCCTATTACCACATGTGGTTCCTAAACTACCCCAATCTCGTGAAAAGATGGGGCAGCCCCTGCTCACAGGGGAATACAGCCTGCAGCGTCAGACTGCCTATCCAAATGCACAACTAAAGAAGGGCAGGCTCTCTGGTAACCACGATGGTTGTAAAAGGCAGTGGTGGTTAACAATTCGGACTTCAATATACAGCATACAGAGTTTCCACATTCAGGTGTGTTCGGACAGACTCCGCAGCAAGACACACAACAGAAGTGTGGAACAACTGTGGGCTGGGAAGTCATGAGTAGACCTGTACTTCCACGTTCAGGTGTGTTTGGACAGACTCCGCAGCAAGACACACACAACAAAAGCGTGGAACAACTGTGGGCTGGGAAGTCATGAGTAGACCTGTGCTTTGTAATCTATGTGCTTATGCAAGTCTTTCGTACTACGGGCATGGGAAGAAAAGAGAACACCGGCAGAAAGGGAGGAAGTGTCCCATGACCACTTCAGCTGAGTCTGTGATGATGTCTACAAAAACCAAAAGCGGTCACTTAGGAACTGACCCCAAGGGCCCACGCTTCCCGGACTGGGCGATGGCCAAGCCTCTACGTGAGAACATGCTGGCAGAGGTGAAGCAGGAGAAGGATATCTGGTTCGCCAACGAACCACAATATGGTGGATGGGTGTTTGATGACAACCTCACCGACCTAAATGGATCTGGCCTTTTCTAGGCATGGCATCAATAACAAAGAAACCAGGTATATTTCCCCCAACGGACGGTAAATGGCACAGAGTGGGAAGCAGAAAAGACAGCATAAACTCTAGCAAAATGTTCAGAGATATGGTTATCGGTGCCGGATGCATTAAGGAAGAGAAGAGGCAAAAGGAGACCTTATGGGACCTGGAGATGTTTAGAGATCTGGTTATCGATTCAGGACGCACTAAGGAAGAGAAGTAACAAAAAGAGATCTTATGGGACCTGGGGAACATCAAGCACAGCACTCAATCTAGCAAGGTGTTCAGAGATCCGCTTATCGATTCCACATGCATAAAGGAAAAAGAAGAAAACAAAAAGAGATCTTATGTGACCTGGAGAAACATTAGGCACCATACTGACTCTCTCCTCCAAGAATTCCCTGGGTGGAGAACATCAGACACCATACTGACTCCCTCCTCCAAGAATTCCCTGGGGAGGTAAGCGTTGACTCATATATTCAACCAGACACAGTCCAAACCCATCATCTTGTTGCAGCACGCCACCAATGCCATATTCGCTATCATCAGTTGTGAGTCTTGTGACTACAAGTGGCAAAGCCAGATCGGTGACGTGTAATTGAGGTTGACTTGACAACAACACTTTTAGTTCGTGGAATGCAGCCTCGCATGCATCAGTCCAAGTGAACACCACTTTCTTGCTGGTCATTCAGCTCAAGGGTTGTGCAATCGTCGAGAAACTAAGCACAAATTTACGGTAATACGAGGCTAGTTCAAGAAAAGAACGCAGTTCACACACATTAGCAGGCCGCGGCCAGGAATTGATGACCTCTGCCTTCGCTGCTTCAAGCTCAAGGCCTGCAGCAGAAATCCAGTGGCCAAGGTAAGTGACACTCTCCTCCCCAAACTCAGATTTTGGCTGGCTGCCTCTATATATATTGTCACAGAACTATTGACTAAGAGCATGAGCACGTGAAGTAGAAGAAGAAATAAGATGAGCAAAGAAAAGAAAAATGAAAGGACAGACAGGCAAAGAGACAGACAAACCAGAATGACACTTTGTTTCACAGTATTATTATTTCTTTCAGTGTTTTACAAAAAATATTTACACTGAATCAAAGGATAAAAATCAAAAACAAAGACACATTGAAATCATTCAGTTTCTCAGTCTTCTTAACGCCTCCTCCACTGTGCCTCTAACGTACAAGGCTCGCCACGTCTTAACGCCTCTATAATAGTCTATATATATGAGCATGAGTTGCTTATGCTCCAGGAAGCTTTGCTCAATTGAAGCACTTTCTTCTTGGTGCCCACTTCAAACTTCAAAGTCTATTCTGATCATCAGACTTTGCAGTGGATCAAGACTCTGACCTCGACTGCCGACTTCAAGCTGTAAAACATGAAAGGTTGTTATATACCGCGGGGGCCTATTTAATTTCATTTGGTGATCACGGAGGGCACGCAACCCGTGCCGCTGGCCCGGCGGAAACATCCAGGAGGCACGCACTGTTGGCCCGTCTGAGTGTTATGCATTCGAGACGGAACGCTGATGGAGAGCTGTATGACAGGAAACCGTCATGTACGGTTCGCAGGGCAGAGACTCACCTCTGACCCTTATCCATTTTAGGTTTTGCTTTAACTGATTATTGCTTTATTCACCTTAATGGTGGCTTTCTTAACTTTATGGCTGACCGCGACACTACCAAATGAATTGCTCCTTTGCACTGTTTGTTCTCTCAGGTGCGATAACCCAGTTAATGTGAAAACAATGAGAAAAGGTGCAAGATGAGCTAAATACATGATACCTTCCATAAACAACATACGAAGTTTCGTCTCCGCTCGAAACTTACAGGCACAGACTTAGCGCCATTTGATGAGTAACCAAAAATAAAGGAGAAGGATACATGAAAAAAAAAAAGTGATAAAAAAGAGAGTAATAGCAAGCAATAAAGATTTCCTGTTGCCGATGCCATTCCCCATCACCCTGACATGATGACTGCCATGGTTACATACTTTGGCCTCCGCAAAAATCTCAAACAGTCCATTGCAGAACAAACCGCGAAAGATGCCACATTTGGTCCTATCCTTACCCAGCTGCTGGCCGACCCATCAAGCCAGCCTGATTTCCGCAAGCATTTGGGTTTGATGTTTCGTGCGCAAGCATTTGGGTATGAAGTTCGTGCGCATGAAGAACATGAGTGTTTGTGTGTGCCTAACTCCGAACCTATTCATTCTAAGATTATGGGTTGGTGTTATAACAAAAGCGGTCATTTTGGGTTCTTAAACCTACGGAAAGTTGCCAAGGTATTATTGGCCCGGTTTGAAGGAAATACAGGAAAGTTCATTGAAGTTATAAAGTCTGCCAAAGGATCAAGATCCACTGGCAGCAACCATTAGGCATGCTCAAACCTCTCCCTATTCCTGATGGTCCTGGTCAGTCTATCTCTATTGATTCCACTGGCATGGGCAAGACAAGTGCAAAGGGTTTTTCGCAGGTTGCAGTTTGTGTTGACCACTTCTCTAAGTACCTCACTGTCATCCCACTACCGCAACATGCACCTACAGATCTAGTCATTAACAAATCTCACAAACACTACGCTAGAGCCTAGAGGTGGGGGCCCTAGAAAACGACTATTATTAGCAATCGGGATATGGGCTTCCTCAGTTCAAAATGGAAAGGATTCTGCTCAGGCCTCTACAATGCACAAGGAATTATGACATCCGCCCACCATCCGGAAACCAATGGTTAAGCTGAAGAAATCAATCAGCGTGTTACTCAACTGTTGAGAGCCTTAATTGCGCCTAATCAGAACACACAGGATAAAGAACTAACTGTTGTCCAAAGTCTATACAATAACTCCATCCACTCCTGCAACGGGTATGACTCCAAATGAACTGCAGTTCGGCTGGCACATCTGCAGTCCTATTGATTTCCTATTGCTTGATCAGCACCCCGAATTGACCCCTGGCATGCTTGGCTAAGGGGCCAAGTATTGGAAACTTGCTTGCTCGTGCGGTTGCTGCCATGCTCAAACAGCAGGACGCTGTGGTCAAACATGTGAACCACCACTGCAGGGCATCAACCTCCGAAGAAGGTAATTATATTTGGGTAAAGATGTCTGAGTTTTCTGATGAAGAGGGCATGTCACCTAACCTCTTGACTCTGTACTACGGCCCTGGGCGGATTCTCAAAGTCTTGGGTGACCCCGAGTTTGGCCTTTCGTACATGGTTGATGTCCCTCCACATCTGCGCAGGTATCCTCTGTTCCATGCTTCAAACTTCAAACTCGTTTCCTTGCACAGCATCTGATGAGTTTCCAGCAGACCTCTCATGATTCCTAGATCTATTAACAGAAGATATGAAGTGGACTGCGTGGTTCAGCATTGCAAGAAGGGGCGTAAGGAGTACCTTGTGCATTTTCTGTAGCAGCCGCCTGCTGAGCTATATTGGATATCTTGCTCAGGCCTGCAGCAAACTGCACCCCGTGTTGTTAACGTCTACAACCGTGAAATCACAGAATGCAAGTACTCCTCAGAGTCCTCACGAAATGTTTGCAATTTCTGCCGACGAAGCCTCTCGTTGGACTAAGGCTGTTTTCCAAGTGTGTGGGCGACCTATCATTATGTGCACGTGCGTTGTGCTTGCCGGAGTCCAAATCTGTGTCCTTGTGCTAACTCTGTTTTCCACACTGTGCTTCTATGCCTTGAGTTGGGTTCGAATCGTAATAGGCATAGACACAGAGACATACCCAAAATTTGGCAACAGAAGAACTTACCGAAAACTGCAGAAGGCCAGGGGTAGTTGTAGAACTCTGTTTTCCACACTGTGCTTCTTTGCCTTGAGTTGGGTTCGAATCGTAATAGGTATAGACACAGGGACATACCCAAAATTTGGCAACAGAAGAACTTACCGAAAACTGCAGAAGGCCAGGGGTAGTTGTAGAATTTGATAGGGACCCGGTAAGCTCTTTTCAGCAACTCAGGTCCAGTACGCTCAGGGGAAAAGAACAGTAGCTTCTAATAAGTTACACGTCCAGGTCCTGTATTTAGATAGGTACTAGGTTAGGTTCAGGCCCTGGGGGTAGCTGCAGGCTGCAATAATGTTCCCACCAAAAGGCAGGACCTTCAAGTAGATCTAGGGCACCAAGGGAGGCCGAGCTATAGTTAAATTCGACCAAAAGTTACTGGTAGGAAAAGAGTGTATCATTCGGTGCGAAGGACGAGAGAGGCCTTCTGAGGTTCATTCTTGAAGTGGCAGTATGCTGCCCCGCGCAGAGGGGGAAATGGGAAGAGAAGGTGGAGCTGCAGGGTTATGGTGAAGACATCCATGGCGGTGGAGGATAAGTACAGAGGAGGTGGAGGTAGACCTAGGCTATGGAGGTAAGCATGATGGACCTCTAGCCAAGCTATGGAAGAGCAGTAGACGTAGAAAGAGGAAGGAAGTAGAAATTGGGAAGGAGACTCACCTGTGGCTATGGTGGACTTGCATTTTCATCTCCAAGGTAGGTGCTGCATTTGGAAAGCCTATCAGGGGGGTCGTGTTGTCTTTTGAACATCCGAGCTAAGCTAGGACTGAGTCGCCATAGCCGGATGAAACACCGAGGGGAGAGAAGGGTGTAGGAGGTCAAGGAGGGATCGTTGTGTGCTGGCCGTACTGGGGAGTAATCGGACCTCAGATTCTGGCTTTTTCCTTCGTTTTTGTCTATTATTACTACTAATAATAAGGTCATCGTGGAGGCCATGCGGGGGAGGTGATGGAGGAGAGATGAGGGAGAGAAGACACTGGGTTCCAGCCTGTATTTATCTTCTTCTTCGTCTTCTTCCATTCTTCATTCTTCTCCTTCCCTTGTACTATTCTTCTTCCAATCTCTTTCATTTGAGCTGCAATTGAATGACATTGTCTCTTTGTGAGCTTTTTCATTGGAAGCTGATCAGGATCACGGCGGATATGAAACCTTTAGAAACTGGTTTGTCGTTAAACGAAGTTATAGATCAGTCATGGGTCAGGTAGACACTCACCGGAAATCCATAAGTGAAGAAGTCTATGCTGCATTTCTCAAATCGGCCCACCCAACTGGTGCTCCTTCCTGTTTGCAATGGCCTGATTCAGACATGGTTCAAACAGGCTACGTTAACCAAACCATTGGCAAGTAGGGGAAACAAGAAAGTAGAAGAACCCATGCCTGGAATGCAAAACGCCAAACCGCAGTGTTGAAAGCGTTCAGGCAAGCCTCATCCACAAACACAATCCTACCTCTATCATGCTGTTTACTGAAAGGTGGAAAAGGTATGAAACTTCACTCTCGCAGTAACTCATACTGCCCTATGCAATTAGTACTAGACAGATCACACCGCACTTGTGACACATCATATGCACTGTAGACACACACCCCACGCCATGCATATCATGCACACACCAGAAAATACCAACCGCCTCCTCGCCCTTACCCCAAAGGGAAAAACAAAAGCTTGTCTCAAGCAACTCTTGGCTGGGATGATGTCCAACATTCTTATCTGGTGAATTTATGAAAACTGAACTTGCTTCTGGATTCTTAAAAACTTTTTGAAGTTCCTTTTACAAGTTTTACGTTCTTTTTTTTTTTTTTAAGGGTTGCGGGTGGCAGGATCAGACTTTCCATGGCAGAGCCAGCCCAGGGGAGACTGGTCATCGTAACTCCCTAACACTCTTCCCTATACACCCACACAATTGCTCAAGGACTGCATTCATCATAGTCTCAGAGGGCCTATTGGCCTTTTTTTTTTTTTTTTTTTTTGGAACAAGGCCCCAATCTATTCGTGGGGAGCAGCACGTGCTGGGAACCAGGCCCAGCGTCCCATATGGAAATTTACATCGAATTTGAAAGTTTGACATACCGGGGCCATTACCCGGCTTTGACTGAGAGAACTTTGAGAGAATTTTGATCTACTTAGAAAATTACTACGACAAACTACAGAAAAAAGGTCTGCCCACAACAAAACATGCCACCACAGAGGTCCTACAAATGCTCAAAACCCTGTGGATCCCTAGCAACCCTTCTAAAGCTCTCCAGCACTGTCTTACTCCTATTCTTACCTTTTCTTCCTTCCTTTCCTCTTCATTCCTTCTTTCTTGCTTTCCTTGTCCTCCTCCTTCTTCTTCTTCTTCTTCTTTTTTTTTTTTTTTTTTTTTTTTTTTCCACCGGCAAGTCAAATTTCACATTACATCATTGATCACTCACACATGCTTCCTTCCGTCAGGCCGAAGGACCCCTGAGCAGCATTGATTACTCCCCCTCGGGAGGATTGACTGTCAGCTTGCCTTTTCCTTCTCTTTCCTCTCAGACCGGGAATCCAGATCTGTCAAATAAAGCCTTTGACCCTAGAAAGAGCTCATTTGTTATCCTTACCTAACCCAAAATCTTCCCGTATACATCTTTGCCCCCTTTTGGATGGACAACCATTTATCCTTAAGCCCTAAACCCTCAGCCTACCCTTTAACTTCCGATCATCGAAATTAGAACCTGGCAGGGTATTCGTCAGCTTTCGGATCCCTGAGGTAGGATCTTCCTCTGCAGCCCCCGTTCATGTTCCAGTATTGTCATCATCCCCAACTTATCTTCCTAAACCCCATGTTGTCTGAACCCCCTGGGTTTCTTGAAGATTGTCCTTATCCCCTTGTGGCCTCAGAAGTGGTTATGCCTTCCAGCGATGTCTGATGTTGGGAACCCCTTCCCGGAATTAGTACCTCGCAGGTGTTCATCTGGGAGACTAATCTTCGTGTACCAAAAGGTCGCCTGGCCTAACAAACTTGACAGAATCGTGCCACTCTTCCAGCTTTCTCCCTTGCCCAGCCCCCGTTCATGTTCCAGTATTCTCATCATTCCCAACTTATCCTCCTTAAGCCCATGTTGTCTGTACCCCCTGGGTCGCTTGAAGATTGTATTTATCCCCTTGCGGCCTCAGATGTGGTTATGCCTTCCAGCGATGTCTGATGTTGGGAACCCCTTCCGGGAATTAGTACCTCGCAGGTGTCCATCTGGGAAACGGATCTTTGTGTCCCAAGAGGTCGCCTGGCCTGACAGACTTGACAGAATCGTGCCACTCTTCCAGCTTCAGCCCTTACCCAAATATATTTTCCTCCCTATTCCTCCCTATCTGTCGTGGGGTATCCTGAACCTCTCCTAACCCTTCACGAGTTGTGCCATTCCTTCCATTGTAGATAAGAGGTCTTTATCTCAGCAACGTTTCCTTCAACCAGCCAAGTATTAGTGAACTTTAGAAGTGCTGCCCGCCGTTGCTCGTCGTCGTCTGGTAGGGAGAGTTTTGCCTTGTGCAACTTGCATAGAATCTCCGCTTGGATTAAGTCTTTAGTTTCCGCCCAGACTTTCTCCCTTGAGTTTGACGTACCTTCAATGGTCTTGCCGCACCTTTCCTTCCATATGATCCACAGTGTCGCTTTCCTGATCATTCCGAACCAGATCCTCTCTGTCTTGTTGAGCTGGGTGGGGATGTTAGTCCAAAGGAGAAGTTGGAGGGGATGTGCAGGGAGGGGAGATGAGAATAAGGAGTCCCAGAGGGCCGATGCCCTTGCCCAGTATTCTGTTGCCTCTYTGCAGCGTACTAGACAATGGAGCATGTCTTCRGGTTCATTATCCGTACAAACTGAACATAGATCTGAGCTGTTGGGATCGTTCTTGTGTCTCCGGATGTGCAACCATTGATTAACCGGTAAGGCCACGTATGCAATTAGCCATTGGAGGCTTCTATTTTTTATTGGTCTGATTGACTTAAATTTTTTCCATGGGATTTGTGGGGATGTGGCTGGCGTCTTGACCTGTTAGTTTGGACCACCTGCTCCTGATTATGGGGTCCGGATCTTTGGTTCTGAGGAATAGCTTATATCCCAATTTGACTGAATAATCCTGTATGTGGGTATCAGTTTTGACAGTTTTGCTCCTTCCTGGAGTCAAGGCCCATTCCGCCGGGTCGAATTCCATGTCCTGGATTGCTGTATCTGACCTGAGAATTGTTTTGGGCCACGAACCCGTGACTCTAACTTTCCTGAACAGAACATATCGAGAACCACTTCTTCTACATCCTTGTTCAGGATGGAAACAGAATTGTGTGCTGACCGGATGACTGGAAAGGCTGTGAAGGCAGCCAGGGTCTGCGAGCCCTGCTGCTTATGGGAGAATTGGTAGGCCTTCAAAGGGGACTGTTCTTGTGTCTTGACTCCCCACTCCCCCGTTTTCCAGGTCGGTGCTTCTGTTAGTCTTTCTTTCCATCCTTCTGGAATGCATCTGATTATTGTTTGTAGGTTCTCCTGACGCCGGTGGCATCCCTTGAGACTGGTGGTGAGTTCCTGATCAGAAATCCACTCCTTCTTGTCCTCGTCCCATATGTGCGAGATTTTCCAGATCCCATGTTTTATCCATGATAACCAGCGTATGCCATTCGGTTTGAGCGAGAGCGGGTGATCGCTTTCGTCTCTCACCCACGGATTGCCAAATAGAGGTTGCCTCAGTACTTCATCTCTGGTCCTTGGTTTCCCGATTTTCTTTGGCATAATTTCCCACCAAATCCTAAGAAGTGCAGTCCAGTACGGTGCGGGAGGGTTGGTTCCGTTGGGGGTTCCCTTTCTTTGTTGGTTTCTGTGGCCCGTTTTTGGGCTCCATTCTTTGTTCATTACCCAGAACAGGCCTGACATGTTTGCTGGTGATGATATCGGAGCCAGCTCTCTAATGCTGTCCAGTGCCAGATTATTCCATGCTGTGCCCGATTGGGTGAGGAGTTTGACAATCCATTTTATTTGTAGAGCTTTTGTCTCTTGTTTGGGATCTATAATGCCAAGACCGCCTTCAGAGGGTTTCCTAGTAATGTACTGCCATGCTACTTTTGGTATATAATTTTCCTTGTTGGGATCTCCTGACCACAGGTAGGCTCTTGCTTTGCGATTAAGGTCCTTTATTGAGTGATCCGGGATTGTCCATATTGATGTTATGTACCACATCATTGAGAAGACTGAAGTGTTGATGGCCAAGGCGCGACCCAGCAGGGAGGTGAATGTATTGCCCCATCTGCCCATCTTGTTGATCTGTTTGGCAAGCATATTTTGGGCCATTTGAGGCGCGCAACCTTCTTTCGTCAAGAGGATGCCTAAGTACCGGGTAGGCGTGTCGGGTGAGTCCCAAGTCATTGCTGCCTCTGGGCCTTGGAGAAGAGGGGCGTCTTCTTCGGATAGCCACCATCCAATCGTTTTCTTCCAGTTAATCTTCATTTCTGAAGCTAGTCTGAATGCTTCCATTGCTCTTATTAGGGCACTAATGGATGAACCTGAGGCCCGTATGAGGACCGTAAGGTCATCAGCGAACATTATGACTGTTGGGAAATGTATATGGTGGGTTGATCCTGTGTTGATCTCTGGTAGTCTGTGTATGGACGGATCCTTGCGCAGGAAAGACGCTATTGCTTCCATGACGAACAGAAAGATTGGAGGTGCTAGTGGGTCCCCCTGACGTACTGATCGTGAAATTGGGTAACAGTCTCTTCTTCTTCTTCTTCTTCTTCTTTTTGCAAGGATGAAAAATGAAGACTAATAGCAGAGTTGAGCTAAGTGAGGATCCACACATGCAGACACAGCCTATTAAAGAGATTACCAACAAACAACAGACATCGAACATACTCATCTCTCTCTCTCTCTCTCTCTCTCTCTCTCTCTCTCTCTCTCTCTCTCCCAGTTCCTCCCCCCCCCCTTTCCTCCCCGTGAAATTAAAAATGAAAAGCCTTAGCAACCAGGATTCACGCACCAATGTCCCTTTTCTCGGAGGGAATTCTGCAAACCAGGGATCCATGCATACAATAAACCCAATCCAAGAGCAGCCAGATTTGCATTCATTCAACTGCTGAGTTGCTGTGCTGAGAGGCAGATCAAAGGTAAAGTGCAGGACTGCTCTCCACTCAAGCCAGTCGCTCAAGAGGATGGAGAAAGCATCTTATGGCAGAATCACTTACACGCTCAGCTCTTCAAGACCACCGTCATTATTTATGAGACGTGCTGTAAGGGAAGACCATGTCTCTCTGCCGTCATCTTCCCAGCTTGGTTGTGACTGAACAGCAAGATCATTGTCATTGTCACTGACGTCCGGCCCGTTATTCTTCTTTGCCGAACCCAAGGAATCACATAACTGCCAGAGTAAACACAATGGAGAAATGCCGCAAAAGCATGAGAAGAAAGAAGTAAGTGTTCTCCAAATATTTGTACTGCGAACACAGATGAGACGGAACATGAGCCACTAAAACCGCAGAAAGGGAGGATTTTTTTTCAAACACGTGTGCTACAAAAACTCATATGAAACTCAGAGAATCTCACTAATGATGCCACAATCTGCAACAAAATCTCAATGATATACACCTGTCCATCCCAGAAAAGTGGATCAAATTATTACGAAATGATTCAAATGAGTACATACGGCAGTATGGATTGGACCACGCACAACCTGCGAAGAAGGAATAGCTGAAGATGTACTACGTTGCTTTGTAAAATTGTCCTAAAGCCAGGGTTGCATACCTGCCGACCGCCGACCCTGACCGCCGACCGTTTTGCAGCCGACCAGCAGGACCGACCGGTCGGCGGTCTGCCGACCAGTCAGAAAATAGTCATGCACTGGTTGTTTTTCAAATCTGAGTTGGGGGCTGTACTGCACTTGCTGAGTACAGCCTAAATCAGCTGAGAAACTTTTGGGGATGGGGGAGGGTAAACCCATTTATACCCCACTTCCTAGCCCTTAACGAACAACACACACAAAAAAAAAGGAGGCCGGATTTGGGCTCCTCTCCTGAGTGCAAAACACCCCCACAGCAAAAAACTAAAAATACAAACTTACTGAACCACTTTTACATGCCTGGGTACCAAAGGTGGCAGACCACCTTGGCCGTGACGTAGACAGAGCAAACAGAACAGCAACTACCTTGTCCTTTTGCATGGCAAGGTCATCCACCCATAAGCATTTGTCATAAGGACTTGTAAGTTGTAACAGAATTCTTAAAACACCCAATACACCGAGCCTCTTTTTGCTGACGTGGACTCCCCCTGTGCACCAAGCTTTGCTGAAACGCCAGCACGGCGTCTTTTTTTCAAATTTTTCCCTTTGGCTGGTGCCACCAGCCATTTGGCCTCTGAAATTTTCAGATTGGCTTGATTTCGATTCTGAAGTTTGCACGGGCGAGGTACTGGGGGGTTAACAGTTTTCCATTCAATATTCCCACAAATTACACAATCCTTCTGCCAAGAGAACCTGCTGTTGCTTTTGGTTGGTGTGATGATCCACGTGTAAACATTGGCCTGGAGGACTCACCGCAGAGTTGGGGAAAGGGACACCGGGCAAATGGTTCATGCTACCGGCCTCTACATAAGAGGCACACATCGTTGGTGGGTACATACACACACAGGCTTCCTTTAGGTACCACAAGCTAAGACAAGCGCCGAGGCCCTGGTGCAACGGGTCCACCAGATGGGAAGAGAATGTACGGACTTAACATATAATGAGACACACACACACACACAACACAGACACACAAACGGCCAAAGTCTCCAAACCGGGCCCAGCGACTGTTGCGCTCGGTCCAGACTGGAGGTCTGGTCGGATGTCCGTCCCTGTGACTCGAGATGGATGACCCAAAGGGTGTCGGACATCCGGGCTTGTAGAATAGATTTTTCTTAGATATTCTATTTATTTATTTTTGTTGTTGTTTTGTTTTTAATCTTATTGCGAGGCTTCCAGGACAAAGTGCAGGGCTGATAGGGTCTGGGTCCTGGGCGTCTGGAATATAGGCCTGTAGGCATAGGAGAAGGACCTGGTTACTCTGCCTGAGCCCAATAGGTTTCGGCCGATTCTGGAGAGTTCCGAAAGGCAGGACCTACCGGCTTAAGCAGGACTTGACCGCTGTGCTATATGACTGGTTGAAGTCGCCCCTCAGCAAGCACCATTATGTGCCCATACACACGCAAAGATGAAAGAACTGACAAAGAGAGAGATGCACACCAAACCAAAGAGGAATATGCAGAGCAATCACCAAACCAAGAAGAATTGAACATGAACAATTCAAAGTCTCTAGCCAACTCTCCAAGTCCAATCGAATCAGAAAGTACCCAAGAATCACAACTGAGTATGGACTGTCTTGAACAAGCTCGAAACACCAGTTTGACCAGCCTATACACCCCCTTCCTCATCACCACAACATCATCCAGTCATCGCTGGCCTGTATCCATTCAGAATTCCATGCTCCCAAAGCTACATCCCTCCAGACCGTCAGCGCCAACTCAGAACTCACTCGAAAGACTCAGCGCCAATCCAAAATGAAGAAGGAAGCTCCCGCTTGAAGAAGAACTGCTGCCCTTCTAGAAGAAGATATAGCGGCACCTAACCACAAAACAGCACCCATATGGTTATCGCCATCCGGCAGTAAAGCACAGGCTGCACTGCCCTTTCCAACACAGTGGGTCTGGTCACCAGAACCGAGCCGGCACTCAAAAACACAGCAGTGCCTGCCCAGCTAAGACGCTGCTCCAGCAGCCTGGCGGCTTCAACAGCATGACTACCTAAAAGACCTCCAACCTATGGGTCCTACCTAGATATAGTTCTACCAGACTTGACTCCCCTAGGACCGAAGACACTAACAGTTATGGGTCTGTGTTCTACAAGTGACAGCGGTACCCATCTGAGGCAACAATTGTGTAGCAGTCAAGCCGAGCAGGTTCGCATTTTGCCAGCAGTTCAGAGAATTTGAGGACAAGTCCCTGTCAGCTTAGGCTCAGGTTCGGTTAGCGGTTAGGACCCAGAGACCGCAAGCACATTGCAACTGTATGAGACCGCCCCAGTCAAACGGGTCCCTGGATGCACGTCACCACCGGGTTGTAACAGCACTCACTCAAAGTGCATGTACAGAAGGGGAACGCCCGTGCAGTCGCCTAGTGCGATATCGATAGGCGCTGGGGAAGAAGACATGCGCCATAGCAGATTGGGCGTCGTGTAGAGTAAGGACGGTGATAGAATAGGGGATTTCCTTAGAAGATGTAGGAAGGCAGTAGGGCAGGTTGGTGACTACTGACCTGAGGGTTGGCAGGAGTACAGAAGCATGGCCAAACACTGCAAGCGGTCATTTGCAGAAGTGGGACAGAGCTCAGTAGCATGGTGGAAGAGAAGAATAGTCTTCGCTACCGTAGGATAGGCAATCAGACCCCCTGGTTGGATATACCACGAGCGAGTCAAAGACTACTACCTTGTTATTGTATTGACTAGTTAGGGGTGTGAAGAGGGCTCTCATAATCAAAAGACTTTAACATCCTGTGTCAGCGTGTATTGGTGTGATCTCAGCTCTCACAATTCTGCTTCTAGTCTGGCCTTGTCACACATGCTGTTCAGTGAGTTGCTGCTATTCATGAATTTCTTCCTCACAGGAAGGTTCCTTGCACCTGCTGATCATGAATTTCTCCTCACAGGAAGGTCCCTTGCAATATTTGGTTCCAGAGCAGCCCCTCTGGAATATCGCCATTCGAGCTTCCAGGTTATGAGGTGTGGTGTCAGCCAGGCTTTGAACAGCAGCGTACGGTGAAGGGCTCATCCGCCAGGTGGCGTCAGCCAGGCGTTGAGCGGCAGTGTATGGCGTTGAGCCAGGTTATGAGGTGTGGTGTCAGCCAGGCGTGGAGCGAGTGTATGGCGTTGAGCCAGGTTATGAGGTGTGGTGTCAGCCAGACGTTGAGCGGCAGTGTATGACTCATCCGCCAGGTGGACAGCGGATTGGCGAAAGGGCGAAGGGAGGTTATGGCGAACGATGAGAGTATTATTGGTAATTCAACCATAATTGCCATTGGCAAAGATGGTGCTGGGCATGTGTCACTTTATTGGTGAATCGGCTTGTAGTTTCTGCCTTGACTGGTCATCAGACGGCATCATCATCAACAAACAGTCTGTGAGGTTTGGGGTTACGCCAGCAATTACAACACCAGTACATCGTCCAGGCAAACTTGAGAATCGAAATCGAGCCAACCCGAAAATTTTGGGGGCCCGGGGCTAAGTGTCTGTAAGAGAACGCTGTTCTCCCAAAACTTTGGAGCTTGTGGTGGTTCGATCACGTTGAAGAAAATGTCTAACAATCTCTGACCCTTGCGTTTGTATCTTGGGTCCCCAGAGGTGATTGCCTCCTACCTTCACTTGATGTACATGTTCATATTCCTCGCCCTACGTACACCACTACTTGATCATGCCTGATCAACAAGAAACCCATGAGAGGCGGAAGTGACAAAGCGAGGGAAACAAAGGGAAACCTACGAGAGGGCCCGACCACTGAAGAGAGTGAAGCCAGAGAGACAGGGAGAAGGCAGAGAATCTCACCAGTGCATAAAGGAGAACCAGAAGTCCAACCTTTATGTAGTTGTGCCAGCTTGACAATCTGTATGGGACAAACTGGAACAGTCCCATTTGCTCGCCCAGGTTCACCCATTCATGCCAGTCCATGTAGTTCAGAAAACACAGAAGTTGGTATATATACAGCAACAGTATGTGCAATCCATTATACAGCAGAAGAGGACCCCACATCCTGCAAGTTTGAAAATTTGACCATGTCTTTTTTAGTAACCATTCCATGTCCCACAAAGCTTAGATATTTTCCATACATCCACAGGATTCCAAAACACCTCTGCCATGAAATATCCCGCCGTGTGTTCGGTGTCGGGGCTCATCCCTCAAAAGAGTCAGAACCCTCGTCCGCCTCTTGATACCAACTCCTGACAGAAGATATACTTTGATGTCCGCAACAGCAATACCACATTGAGCAGTAAGGCACAACGGAGGGCGATCACAGAAGGGGCAGGGTCCCACTGGCCACTGGATTGGTTTCACACAGAGCCTGTTAGGCCAGATGTGACATTGCAAGAAAGAGCAAAAAAGTGTAGAAATACGAGAAAGAGCAAAAAAGTGTAGAAATACGAGAAAATGCCTTTCGAACGAAAAACATGAAACTGCTCCTCTGTATGACAAGACGATACTTTGACCCCAATGCCAATGCACTGCAGCGCCATTTCTAGATGGGAAAAGGGCGCCTGACAACGGTAGTGATGGTATCTGACACTGCGTTGATGTCTCCTGCACCTATGACCCTGAAATAGTGTGAGGGCTGAAGCTATTACATAAGTCAATTTTTGGTGGGAAGCTCCCATTGCAACATCATTGCCAGAGTTGAAACACTAGTTAACGCAAATCAAACTGAAAAAAAAGAAAAAAAACTTCCAGGCCTGCCCAGCCTGAAACATCACTCCTACTGCGTCGCACCGACTTCAATTGAAATATGCATTCGGTTTGGCCGCTTCGGCAGAAACACTTTTTTATGGCCAAGCGATTTCTTTTTATGTTTTAATTTCTTTCCCTGATGTGGAGGAACCTAGCCAACATCCTGATTTTTTTGGGAGTTTTCATCGCCGAAAAAAGTTGCCAAAGTTGCGGTACTCCAAATTTTGCACGCCCCACCGGTACCCCCCTAGGGTAGGTTGACCCTGTGATTTTGCTCCATAGATACCGGTAAGAGGCGCACGTCAAGTGAAACGGTAGTCTAAGGAATGGAGGGCACTGCGTTTTCGTTTTTACTCCCTAAGTCTCCCTGGTTATACTAATATCAGTGACTGTGGGATCACCTGTCACCACCACACATCACATGCCAAATGTGTATCATTCAAGCCAATCACTTGCTAGCAGGATGTCACCCCAAAGCCTTTTAACATGACACCGTTCGAGCCAAATCGCTCTCGCACGCACACATCGTCAAAATATTACAATCATTTAAAAATTAAAATATTAATATTATATTATATATAACAGTATAACTCGATAGAAGATTGCAAGGGTAGGCTACTCATCTGGGTGGAAAAGGGGGTTTTGCAATGACAGTCTAAAACACACAGACAAACACACACCTCTGTTATGAACCTGGTTGCTTGTTGTCAGAAGACCAACACTCGCTCACATAGACTTCCAGGTATGCTAATACATACACAGAAGGAAGGGGAGAGGATGGGAGTATCACACCGCACAGGGAGAGAGAAACACAGCGGAAGACTTAACCATGCGATATGACAGAGTACACTGAAAGTGCAATTCGCTCTACAGAATCCTCACAACCAGTCACAAAGGAAAGCCAAGTAGATCACATCCAGAACACATTGAAACAAAGATAGTTCACACACAGTGTCAACACTGTTTATTAAACTCAGAACATCGTTTTCCCAGAATAGCTCCAGAACCATGGTGCGCTGCTCAGAAATGAGCAGCGCTTCTTCCCCAACCCTGAAGAACCGCTATCAACTACCCCTGAGCCCCTGAAGCAACCAGTACCACCCAGATACTGCCTCTAGAGGGGAGCGCTACCCTGAAACAGGCCTCTGAGGCCAAGCGCCTCTCAGAGGATGAAGAAGAAGACCAGCACCATAGTCTCTGATGAAGATGAAGTGCCAGAAGACCTCCCAGGTGAAGATCTGCAGCAGCGCCACCTCTCCTGACAAGGAGAATCTCTGCGGATGCAAGCTGCAGCTATGGCTGCAGCGCCACTACCCTGAAACCCTACTCCTGAGGAGGGTTCAGCAGGGCACCAACTTCTCCTGCTCCCAGCAGACCTCAGATAGCCCAGACCTCTGAACAGCCCCGCGTGCTGTCAGAGAACAGCAAGGGTCCCAGCTAGGGCCAACGCTTTTGAGGGTCTGGCTATGTCTGTCTGCTCCAACGCTGAAGCTGTACCACCACTAGTTCACACGTTGCACAGCCGCGGTGTACACAGTACCAACTGCCAAAAGCCCTGAAGTTCCTGAACAGACTTCTACAATCTATTAATAGACTACCCTAGCCTACACTCGACCTAGACCGGACTGACTGGACCAACCGGTACCGTTTCAGTTTCGGTCTCACCAGCCTCTCCCTGCCCGGCTATAGGCTATAGCCCCAGTCTAACAGCGTCTGCCTTAGGGCCTGTCTGTCCTAACGATAGCCAGACCTGCTACTCGCAGTTAGGGTAGCTGTAGGAAATTTGAGTTAGTGCGGGCCTAAGTTTTACAAATACGTCCCTCACGAATTTTCCCCACAGGCAGATATCTCGGTTAGCCCTCAGCCAAACAAAATGCGAATATAGCCGTTACAGCCTCAAGGCGACGGGCTGCAGGCTACAGAATCAGCAAGCCATTGCACCTCTGGCTGACTACTGACTGCAAAGATACAAGTGGTGGGTATTGATAGCCAAGCACCAGGAACTAGAATCAATAATGGTGGTAGCACCACGAGAAGGGAAACATATCCTGTCCTCAACTCATTGCTGCCTCCCAAAGAAGTCCGACAACAGAAGAACAAATGGCCACAACCTTAATCTTCTTCTTGTTTCGTCTGGGATGAAATTAAGTAAGATCTCTGATAACAAGGTAGAAATGCAGACCGATGAACATATTATTTCTCTCCATAATGCCACTGAAACGGTTTTCACCTTAGCAATAGCAGATGCAGATCCCAGGGCTCGATCCCTAGACCTTACCACACCCGTGTACAGTATCGAGTCCGACCCTGTGTGTTTGAACCCGTGACCTGTGTTTTGGTAGTCGACTGTTGCCTGTCGTAGGTCTGTGTAGCTGTAGGGGTTCGATCTGTAGATCTGTCGACTACGGTAGGGGTCATAGTTGTGTAGAGGCCGTAGCTGTAGCAATTCTGAAAGGTCAAGGTCGTAGCTGTTACAGTCCTGAAAGGTCAAGGTCGTAGCTGCTATAGTCCCGAAAGGCCAAGTCCACAGACTTCCGGAAGGTCCGGAAGTGGCCTTTTGAGTTTTTCTCACGTTACTCACAGCAGACCAGAGACAAGTGGGCAAGTGGTGAGCCCAACTAAGCTTAGTCAGCGGTACCCAGTCCCAGTCTCACTTTGTACAGTCAGCAAGTACCATGAGGGACTGTGTGCAACGTGGGCCCGGTGGAAAAGGGCAGACCAGCGACTTACAGAAGTATAAATCAAGAGGCAGCGTCCAGCTATTCATTCATTCCTGCGTGAGCCATGCGGAAGCGCTGCCATAGCGTCTTGTGCAAGGTGGTCTGCAGATGCCCGAGGTCAAAGTGGGCTGAAGGGAGATAGAGTATCCATAGCCAGTAGAGGTTAGGCAGCCATAGCCGCTGTAGTTTAGAGATAGAGTTCAAAGTGTGTGAGTGTGTTTTGTGCTAAGCCTGTGTGCGTGGGATATCCAGGGAGATCCAGTGTGAGGTGCATGTGAACAGTTGAGGTGAAGCGCTCAGGCGCCATAGTTAAACTGAAGCGAGTGTGTATCTGAACTGTGTTCTCGCCTTGAATATCTCTCAGCTTTCTGTGGGCACCCAGCGCCAGTGTGGAATGCCATCTGTTTGTATGCATGCGAGGTGAGAAGAAAGCGAGTCTGATTGCACCAGAAATGCCACAGTATGGCAGGCTGGACGCCAACATACTTGCAGCCTGGGAAGTGGTGAGTTAACCCGCCAGCATCATTGCATGCTGGTGAGGGTCCAGAGGTCAGACACCCATGACTGGTTGGCCTGGCGACTATGATGCTGCGCCATTTGCAGGATTTGACCAGAACCTTGGTGCCGGATTCGGAAAGAGGCGATGGCAGCCAGGGAGCTTCCTTGCTATGGAGCACGGCTCGAGGGGCTAACAATAGAGTCACAACTTCGACCTAGAGTCAATTTTGAAGTATATTGGGCTTTTAAGTACAATAGATTTGAGGTAGCATGAGGTCGAGGGAAAGTCATTTGAAAGGACAGTAAGGTTTGAGCTTATTGGAGGTTCAGAATGGCATAGACGGTTCCCAAGAGAAATTTCAGGAAGAGTAAATTTGACTCAGTTTGCAGTGGTAACACAGAAAACTGGATGCACGATAATGGAGGAGGTCATAAAATGCAGAGCAGCTATGGAAGGGCAGAGTAAGTCCAGAATGACAAAGTAGGTTCAGAGGAGGTTGAACATGACAGATGGAGGAACAGTGGAGAGGCAGATTTGGGCCCAGGTGATGAAGCATGAATGACACCATGATTATGTCCAGGTTCATGGTTTCCAATGACAAACGTAGCAACAGTGGGGCCTGACCTGAATTGTCGAAGGGCACATTCAAAACTGTGGCCCGGGCTCAGAAAGGGGAAGAATGTGTTTGGAATAGAATGGGCTCTGAACGGCAGAGAAAATTCAGACATGCAGCTTTGCAATAGGGAAGGGTATATGTAGGCTGAAAACAGCAAAGAGGAAGGTTCAGACGAGTGTCAAGTCATGAATGTAAGTGCCGTAGGCTAACTTAGACAGGGGTGAGGGGTGGTACATCCTTCCTCCGGGAAGTAATCATGGTCGTCCACTCCGACCTCCCAACCGTGATGGAGAGGAGCTTGCGTTGAGCGCATGAGTACCTCTGTAATGGTTTTTGACTTGCCGGGGGAACAGGAACTGGACTGTTGCTCCCCAGAATGGTAGTGGGCCAGAACCACAAGGTTCTGTTTCTTCATTGAACCACCACTACCTCTGTCACTCTTGGAAAAATGAGAAAACTGGCAGTTTGAAGTTTTCCCATTTTTTTGGAAACTTTTTGGGGGTTGGACGAGGCTCGGCAGTTGGGCCTTCTGGCCCCCTTCGAAAAACAACAAGAAAAACAAAAGATCATGCCAGGGAAGGCCATGCACCAAGTTGTGCTCACACCAAAACTCACACGTGCGTATCTAACCGCTATAGTGGCCAGTTTCAGGTTTTCATCGTTTGTGTTTTTTGTTTTCTTTTTTTTTTTTGTTTTGGTGCCCCGCCAGGGTGGCCAACGGCGCAGTCCACAAGCTGCTGACACTTTGTGCAGGAGGGGATGCCCACACTATTACTTTGCGGAATGTATGAACCCGCTTTCCCGCCCTAAGTTCAGTTTCGAAAAAAAAATCCTCTTCCTTCGTCCGTGGACCTGACACCCTTGCCAGAACACCCTCACTGAGGGCATACTCGCACAACGACTTTGGGCTATAGGTATCTACCAGGTATCACGTCCAAAGAGGTGTTGTTTTTTTTTCTTTTTCTTTTTTTGGCTGCGAGCGGGTCGTTTTTTGAAAGTCTGGCCGTGCTTTTGTTTTTTTTTCCCAGGAGAGTACCAGAAAAGAAACAAAACAGCTCGGCAAAACCCGGTGCGCAGTGAAAATCAGGGTCAGCAAAAACAGGCTTGGGGGTAGTGGTGGTTAAAAAAAAAAAAAAAAAAAAAAGAATACCGACATGGTACCCAGTCCATGCGGCCGAATGGCACATACATATAACTGTTAGAAAGAGACCATAAGACTAAAGCCTGATGGGAGAAGATAGGTACAGCAATGGTAGGCCTACATCTTCAGGGGAAAATAAAAGAAACAACTGCAAGGAAAATGAGCGATAGCGAACTTCAGAAATCAAACAGCATCATACACATGAGACCAGATAGTTGTGACCTCGAGCCAATAGCAGAATTGCATCACGAGTTCCACCAAATAAGAGCACAGCAAAAGCTCATAATTCACAATGCTGGAATAGTCTCATCATCATCAACGAAGAACCAATGTCGATATCCTATCTGGCGCTCAGCACCCAGACTACAGATGGCAGATCCTATCTAGCCTATCTACAATGCCGCTGATGACGTCAACAACTCCACGAAGTACGAGCAAATCTCGGCCAATGCCGTTCGCTTCAAGCACCAGGTATGTCTCTCGTATCACTCACAACCTCGTTCCCCAACTCACAGATGCCACATGCACCCAAGGACCACCATGCGCCCCATCCAGCATACAGCAGCGCAGCTCGGCTATGGCTGCCTGCTCCTTCCAGCTCGCCCGTGAGCGCATGAGCGCTGGCCAGTGTTAGCGCAGCAGCGCTTGCGCAGCATGCAGCCAGTGCCCGAATGCCAAATGCGGAGGCAGGCCCTTTCCTAAATGGAAGTGGCCTGCCTGCTGCTGCGGCCAGGCTGTGCTGGGCCCTTGCCCGGAAGCTTCCGGAAGGCCCGACTGGCTGAGCACCATTTGCAATTCCAGTCCATCCAGAACAGGCCCAGGGCCTGAGTTAGTTGCCTGTACCCAACTGCCCACAGCCTGTGTTCGGTCCGTATACGCGTTTGGCCCAGGGCGTACTTCAGATACATTTGCAAAATGGACGCCTGGGCCTGGGCGCTTGTAACCAACTGACGCCACGCAACTGTCTGAATTTCCCCAGTTACGTGGAGGCCTGAAAAAGGGGCCCTAAGGCCCTGGTCGAGCCTGCCTTCACTTAGGGCAGCCGACAATAATGCAAGCAGGGCCAAAGGGGCTGATCGGGACCTTAGGCCTCGCACAACAAACAAACAAAACAAAATTTGAAAAAAAGAAGAAGAATGTTGTTCGGGACATTCAATAAAATTGGAACGATACAGAGAAGATTAGCATGGCCCGTGCGCAAGGGAAACGGAAAAAAAAAGAACAAGAACAACAACGGTTTGGTGGTCTACCTTGGTTGTCATCATCGTTGCAAGATTTGCGACCACTGCCAATATGACTTGCACAAAATTTGCTAGCCACCGGCATCAGGCCTTGCACGTCATTTTTGGATCTACAGCGAGTTGTTCCTTCCGGGTCTTGAACCCAGGCAGACAGTTCAGCAGCGTAGGATGGCCTACGTTGTACTAGGCCCGTACTGGCATTATAACTTTTAGGAATCTTGGGACCACTGGCATTATGACTTGCACAAAAGGTCACAACATACTAGATAAATCAGCAACAACTGCACGTTCTGTTCTCACAGCTCTAACGAATGAACTGAACTCACCATTCACCGGTTGCATCAGGTGAGATCGACCATTCAAAAAGCCCCACGCAGCTGAAGAAAAAGTAGATGGTTGAAACAAAGGATGGTTCAGCAACTGCAGCTCCGAGCAACACAACTGGAAGGCTGTGGCTCCTAACCATGGACAAGAGGAGCGATTTATCCCTCCCTGCAACAGGTTTGCGACACTCGACGAGCAAACACAACAATCAGACGTAAGAACTCACCAATACAGAGAAGTATACAGCATTCTAAGTCAATATGATAGCAGTCTGCTAGAGAAAAACTGTTCTCCCAACCAGACAAAAAGACCAGCGAAGATTATAGACTCTATGAAATTATAGGGCAGGCCCCACTGGTGCTATATTCGCACTAAGAAAACATGCACTTGACCTGACGAAGGATCGCACCGGTGGGGCCTGTTCGTAACAGTCATGTAGAAATGCAGCAATCCTTGGTTACAGCAAGAACCAGTGAGGGATTTCTGAGGATGCAATCACTCTGGCTTATTTCTTTGAAATGGGGGTTAGCACCTAACATTACTGTATCCATTAGGATTTCAGCCATACTTCTGTTCTGTTGGGATGAAGAGTCTCTTGTCGATGACATTCGTCAGTGTGATCGTCGAGCCACTCAGCAATATGCTTTCACTTATCGCCTCATTCACAATGTTCTTTCACGAGGTCAACTACCACCTCTACCAGAGCACTAAGACGTTGAGTGGAAGGAAACTACAGCACCAGATGGCTCGTGTACCCTTTTAGGTGTGCACCTACAGGTCTGCTTTGATAGCACTTCGCATGCAGATGAGCAATTCCTGGGGGCAAGGAAGAAACTGTCTTTGACAGAGTGGCTGTGTGAAACTTCCCTGTCATTCGTTATCTAAGTGCTATCACCAACATCCCTTCCTATCAACCGGCTGGTGTATTCACTTGCCAACTGACCAGAGTTGAACGAATCTGTAACAGTCGGTTGGACTTTCAAACTGCAGCAACAACCCTTATTTGTAGCATGCTTTCTCGTGGGCATCTCCCATCAACCCTTGCTAAGGGCTTAACCTGCTATATGTGCTCCCGCCATTGTCTCACAGCTCCCGGTGGTCAAAGGCATGGACAATGACCATGTAATGACTAGATCCGTGTGCAATGCAGGCAGAGATGAGGGATGGAAGATGAACCCACTCACCCACCAGGCTGGCCATAGCGCAATTCAAACGGATGGTTCCTCATTGCTACTTGTTGGCCCTCAACTGTAAACCCTCCTTCCGTGGTATAGTCCCTCTCATTTGGCTCTATGCAGGAAGACCACATCAAGCTGAAGGGCAATTGTAAGAAAGTCTGACTCCATATAAGGCAAGTGGTGGAGAATGTGCAGATAAGTCTTAGTAGCCGGCAGACCACAGAGACTGGGGACGATCTCAATGAAATGAGAGGAACAAGGATCACAGAGATGCCATTGGCCAACAATTTGCTCGTTACCCAACTGATGCTCGAGACCCCAAATGTCTTCAGCTGCATCTTGGTCAATCATTTGCAGATCACCCACTTGGAGGCCAATTTGCAGATCACCACCCACGTGGGGGACACTTTGCAGATCACCCATGTGGCCTACTTGGGGGCCAATTTGCAGATCACCACCCACTTGGGGCCAATTTGCAGATCACCACCCACTTGGGGGCCAATTTGCAGATCACCACCCACTTGGNTTGGGGGCCAATTTGCAGATCACCACCCACTTGGGGCCAATTTGCAGATCACCACCCACTTGGGGGCCAATTTGCAGATCACCACCCACTTGGGGGGCAGTTTGCAGATCACCCATGTGGCCTACATCTTGGGCTGTATGCAGTCTTGTTGGGCAATTTGCAATCCAGCCAATTGATGTTCCAACCTCAGGACATTCAGGGCTGCACCATAAGTAGGGCCTGTATCCAGCTCGACAGGTGACCTGTGAATCTCCAATGCTGTGCAACACGGGACACGGTCCATGACTGTTCTCCAGAAGTTGGATTATCTGCAGAGGACTAAGGAGTTCATATTGCTGTCTGGAATAAGGGAACAACAACAACCTGTCAAGCAGGCACAGATAAAGCCGTGCCAGACAAAGAAGCAGGCTACTGATTCTTGGATGAGTAATGATACAGGGCGCGCCATCGATGATACACAATAAAAGGAGCCTTGGCATGGCAAAAACGGAGGTGAGCATGTCTTCAGTAATGAAGGTCGAACAACTGAACAGGAGAGTCTGTTTGCAGACGAGACCGTGGAGCCGATGACAGCAGTGACGTGAAGTGCCGCCGTCTGCGGCCAAGCACACAAAGAGAGAGGGGGGAAGGGGGGGATTGATTGGGCAAGGGCAGGAAATAAAGGATGTGAGCGTCGCGGAGGCTGTAGTGTTCAGCAGAGGAAGCTGTAGCAGTATAAACTGATATAGAGGAAACTGCAGCAGTGGAAACTGCTGCAGTGAAAAGTGCGGCAGAGGAGACTGCAGCAGTTGAAACGACAGTTCTCTCAATACCAGATGAGGTAGCAGTGGCAGGAGCGAGACAAGAGGTTTGTGAAGGTGAGGAAGAAAGTGGACAGTGCAGGGACCATCACAACATGCACTGGAACCCCTAGAGAGACATGTCACATCCATAGGGTAGTGGAGCTAGCAGGAGCGCATGTAGCAGGTTTAGCCCTTACCAAGGGTCGATGGGGGATGCCCACGAGAAAGCATGCAGCAAGTCAGTGTTATTGCGGCAGTTTGAAAGTCTCCCCATTGTTAAAGATTTGTTCAACACTGATCAAGTGCGCAGCAAACACACAAGCCGGTTGATGGGAAGGGATGCTGGAGGTTGCACTTGGTTAACAAATGACAAGGAAGTCCCAGGCAGCCGCTTTATCAAAGACATTAATGGCAAAGCAAGGCATCAGAGCAGACCTGCAGCTGCATACCTAAGACGGTACAGGAGCCATCTGGCACTGTAGTTTCCTTCCACTCAGGTCGGTAATGCTCTGGCAGAAGTGGTAATATGTCCCCGCAAAACACATTGTCAATGAGGCAATACGTGAAAGCATATTGTTCATCGGCTCAAAGATCATTTTGGTCTATGATGGTCTTTTTATTGATTTTAACTATTGGTTTTGTTTATGAATGGAAGAAGGGCGCTTTAGATTGGGAATAACACATTTGGGTAATTAGCTCAGTTGGTWGAGTGCCTCGTTTACACCGAGAGAGCCAGCGGTTCAAGTCCGTTATTACCCAGATGGGAAAATAGCTTAGTTGGTTAGAGTGCTGGTCTGTCACGCCAGAAGTCGCGGGTTCAAATCCCGTTTTTCCCGGGAGGTATTGATGATTTAAGATCCAGGTAATCTCACAAAATAACACTCGTATATATTGAGCTCGTAATGGAACTTCACAATTACAAAGTTTTTCTACAGCTACTTGATTTGACATATGGCTGAACTTCTTTCTGTAAAAACCCGCTCCACAAAATGGAAGTTTCATTTTGGGTTCACCGACGAATGTCATCAATGAAGCGTGTGTTATCCCAATACAGCTTCAGATTTGAAATTTCTGGTCCCATCGCAATGCCGACAATATGCTTCCGAAGTCTGCAGTATACAGGTCAGTGTTCCGTAACTTCCGTACCATACGCGTGACAAAGTCCATGATAGCAGCCATGACAAATGAAGTATGTCGAGGAATGCCATCTACAACCCAAAAAAAGAAAAGAAAAGAGGCCTTCCATCATACAGGCCGTGATACAGGGAGGTCATAGAGAACACCGTCCACAACCAAAACAGAAAAAAAAAAGAGGCCCTCCCTCTATGTGACCCAAGTCTACGATGCAGGCCATGATACAGGGAGCACATAGAGAACACCATCGACAACCAAAACAAAACAAAACGAAAATAAGAAGGGCGTTGGTTATGTTTACCTTCTTCCCCGGACCACAATGCCTCAGCATCACGACTGTTTGGACAGGAACAACGTTTGCAGATGTTCATGACGATGGGGCATTATGTTCCAGAAAGAAGGTAGCAGGCCTTGCAACCACCATCAGTTGGGACTGCTTGGCAAGAACCTCTTTTCACTGAGTATAGCCATGAACAACGTTTCACTGATTATAGCCATGAACAACGTTTCACTGATTATAGCCATGAACAGCAGACAGGTTCTTGCAGCATCATATACTTCTCGATAGTTCCATGTACGTAGCATTCAGCCACAAGGCAGTTCCAGCAATCACACTCCATATCAATACATGCGACAAGAAGAAAGAGTGACCAATAACTGAGGCTGAGTTTACACTCCATTTTCGTTTTCCAACACTGGCTGTGATAACACTGCATATCAAAACATGTTCAATTGCTAACTTATCATCACAAACCCCATGTACCCCGTTGACATTGTGATAAAAGTATGGTGCCACTAAGCAATGCAGTGATGGTCCCACTAAGCGGTGCAGACATAAACTCACTAAGCAATGTAGTCATGCTCTGTTAGTGCTAAGTGTAATGACCTGCCAAACACGGACTGAGACACACAGCTGATTTCTGAGTTTTGCTCATGGAATGTATGCCTTGCTGAGTTTCCCGCTTGTTGCTGAGTTTTCTAAGTCTGTGTGGGAGCGTGCTTGCTGGTCTGCATGCCTGTCTGAGTGCTTGTCGTATTGAGTGTGTGTGTGACCCGCAAGGGCACTTGTTCAGAAGGCCCGAAGGGCCGGTACTTACCTTTGGCCATGGCATTGAGGGTTGCAGCAGGGAAAACACTCAAGTGGCGGGGGAAGAGGCCCGCAACGCTTGAAGCAGCGGGGAAACACTCAAGTCGCAGGTAGGCCAGTACCACACCCTGAAGAGGTAGATGTGCCGGGTACTTGAGGCCGAGCAGATGAAGACAAAAGTTGGCATTTTTAGAGGCCCAGTAGCTGTAGGCTAGGTCTAGGCGGGTACCAGTCCAACCAGTCTGAGTCTAGAGCCTGTACGGGCAATATCAGAGTCTGCAATGATGTTTCCCTCCAAAAGGGAGGAGGTACTGGCTGCTTGGAGGCCTCGCGGCCTAGGAAGTCGCTCGCCAAGAGGCAAGCAGGCCACTATATCTCCAGGACGAGCAAATAGCTCCTCCTCATTGTCGGTGTGCAAGTTTGGTGACACACTGGTTGGAGTGCTGGCTGGAGCAGCGCTAGCACAGAGCTGTGCTGCTGGGGGAAGGAGCAAGGACAGGAGGAGGAAGAAGACCAGGACTAGGAAGGGAGAGCGCCAGAGGTACTTACCTGGCTATGGTGGTTGCCATCTTCATCACCTTAGTGTGCGCTGCAGCAGGAACTGGTAGAGCTACACCAAGAAGCTTCAAGGCAGAGTCAGGCATGGCGGCCTGAGCTAGCGCAGCCATAGCTGCTTTTTGTTGTCCTTTGCACAGCAGGGCGATGCCCTGGTAGTCCGCTATAGCCTCGGCCTTGGAGGAAGGAGGAAGAAGGGTGGCCATGGCTATGGTGGACCTCATGTGATACCTGCAGTAGAAGAGGGATTCGGACATTGATTCTGGTTCAGCCATTCAACATTATTATTATTATTTCTTGTTTGAATAAGAGGGGAGGAGATAAGGAGGAGGAGAGTGTTGGTGAAGAAAGGAATTCTCATTGGTATTTGCTGGTGTACATCTTCTTCTTCTTATTTCTTCCATCTTCTTTTTCTTCTTCTTTCTTCCATCTTCTTCTTCTTCTTCCTCTTCTTCTTTTTTCCCTCTCTCTCCTCTCAAGTTCCTTCATTTCATTTTGCAATTGGACAGCATTGTACTTTCCCATGAATGTGTACTTCAAAATTGGCCAGGGTCATAACGTAAGTGCATTAATGCGGACTCACCATTCGTATCTTCAAGAAGGTCCCATATGGTATACTGATGCTCCTGAGTAAGTGCAAACGCCGCAGTCAGCACCACCAGAAGCTGAGGAACAATGACTTGCAAAATCTCCAGCGGGTCCTTCCATGTAGCAAGTCTGTGAGGAATGACAACAACAAAGACAGAAAAACTCAAAATTGAACGAACAAACCAGCAAACAAAACAACCTTTAATCTTTTGCACATTCGGCAGGCAATCACCCAGTCCAACAACTCGTGTTTCGGTTGTATTGTAGCAAGGTTTGAGCTCATGAATAATTGTAGCAGTAGTTCTGGGTGTGTAGAAAACTTCCACGTCCAGTGCATATCAATGTCGGCATTTCCAGCATATAGGGAAACCATTGACGATTAGTATTGCTGAAGGAAGATAGAAGTTCCTTCTCCAGCACATAGTGAAGTGGTTGAACTTTCATGTTGCCAAGCGCTCACATCCCTGTTCACGCGGCCAGCCTCCACCAGGGCAGGTCAACCTGGGGTGGGCACAAAACAATCCCCTGGCTTGTAAATGGTGCATGCTACCAGTCTACATTCAAACAAACACCATGGGAGAATGCTATTCCTAATCAGAAGGGCATAATTCATCACACAACCAGAGTCAAAACAAACACATGTTATGATCCTAATACATTCATGATGCAAAACTCAAATATGAGACAATGCCATCAACCGCACCCCAAAAGACAAGCAGAAGAGAGAAGAGGTAATAGAGTGAGGAGAGAAGATGAAGACAACAAAGAAGAACAACACAAGAATACTCCAGTCATATCTACCTCCTCCATCTCGCCATGTCATCGGCACCCTCAAGTACTGCTCCTGTGAGGCCGTGTGGGCCTCCCAGGTGCAAATGCAGCAGCGCCGTGCTGGGAAGCCCTCGCTATGAGAAGTGAGGCCCAGCAAGTGTCAGAAAAGGCCGGGTCAGACCAGTCGGGATACTGAGACAGGCTACCGGCCAGGTGGCTGGGATCCCGCAGGCCGTGGGCGCTTCTCGGAGATACTGGAAGGCAGTGCCTACCAGCCTGCCCATACACCCGCCTTGGCATAAAAGAAGAGAGGCTGGGGCAGCAGAGGCATCTTATCGGCATGCAGACTCCACCGAGCTGCTTGAGTGCACATGTACTTGGGAAGCGGTGCTAGTGCAGGCCAGTGCCTGAAAGCCAAGGCAGGCAGCACCTGCAATAGCTGCACTGGGTACCTGGAGAGTGGAAGCGATGCATGGAAGGGAGATCCTGGGAGGAGGAGAAAGGCTGTAGGGAGAAGGTTTGGCGAGGGATATATGTGGTGGTTGGCGCTGGTTGCCAAAAAGCGCTTTAGTGTCAAACATTCTACGTTTCGGCATCACCTGCAGCAGCATGTACTCTGTGGTACTATACATTGGCGTAGTACAGGGTAGGGTAGTGGATAGAGTCCGTGATGAAGTACGCCAGTAATGAGAGAATAGCGAGAGCCGGGATCTCTCACTGTTGTCGAAATGGGAGGCAAGAAGCAGGATTTTCATCATCAAGACGGTACAGCATTGTCAATTCCTGTCCTGGTGTGCTCTTTGCTTCGTCATTTCTCCTAATTGCCTAAATGTGACTCACAGGAGTGCATTATGTTTGTAATTTTTCCTCCAATGCAGTTCCTTGCACTCCTCTTTATTGATGATGAATGAATGAACAAAGAATCAATATCCGATGAATATCCCCTCTTAGCTCTTGAGAAAGAACCTCTCTTCAGCTCTTCTACTTCCTCTCTCACATCAAGTAGCATGCATAACCCATGGAGGTCATCCAACTACTAATGAAGGATGTATATAGAACAACACACAAACTACCACTCTCTTCCGCACTCCGAACTCCATGCCTCACTCTTAGATGACCTCCCTGTCCAGTCAGGACCTCCAAAGGGGCCTTCTTGATGTAGTGCTAACTAGTCAAGGTCGGTTTCCTCCTCCTTCCTCCTTCCCGCTTCCTCCTCTTCTCTTAAAGAAGTCACCTACTTGCCTACATAGCCTAGTGTGGGCTCACCTGTACCCTACTATACCCAACCCTATTTCCAACCACATTACCTCCATAGCCATGGAGGTCATCTTCTTTACCCACTAGCTTCTCCTCCAGCTACATCATGCTCCGGCACCTTTCCCTCTTGACGGACCAGCAGCATGTCTGGTAGGTGAGATATACCGCATGGACTGAATCCGGCGGCCAAGCACTCTCCCGCTTGAGTGCTCCTGGGCCTATCCAGGTTGCTACCAGGCCTGCAGACCCTCCTTTTCAGAGGAGAGTTGGGAACATTACTGCAGATTGTATGTTGCATGCTGAGCCTGCACACGGGCCCCATTTGAGGGACCCAACGGTTGCTGAGGGGCCCCCAGGCCGCGTACCATCCAGCACGCGCCCAAAAGGCCCACGACGGCCCTCCAGGCCCTAGGCAGCACACTAGGTAGATAGGCTGTAGTTTTACTTACCGTTTTTTTGGTGTGTGTGTGCTGTCTTATTTTTGTCTGTTCAGGTGCCGTTTCGGACTTGCAGCCCCAAGGCCGGACCTTGGGACTGGGTACACCGGAGGCAGGCCCGAAACGAGGCCAGGCGCATTTTTGGCGCCAAACCAACAGGTACCGGCGTCGTTTCGGTCCTGCAGGACCCAAGACAGCACCTTGGGCCAGGTGCACCGGTAGAAGGCCGTTTTTAGGCCAGGCGCATTTCTGCGCCATGCTGCAGCAGCAGCAAGGTCTGGACGTCCGGTGGGGACCCAGACCACCTGGGCCGTTTTAGGCCACACAACACCAGGTAGCCCCAGCTGCCCAGCGCTACAAATAGCTGGGCAGCGGCTGGGCCAGGGACAGTTCGAGTAGCTCATTTCTGAGCGACATGCTGCTGGTTGGAGGCTGCGCTATGCTGCGCTGGGTAGTGGAGTAGGGAGTAGAGGTTAGAGGAGATGGGGAGTGGCGGAGGCCATACCTGCAGTCGGCGAGCTTACCTGGTGCCATAGCTGGGCTCCACGCGGTACCTGCACACAGCAACGGACGAAGTCAGTTCAGTGACAGCTACCTGCAGGTGAGATAGTGAGGAGGACTTCATCCCTTCTCTCCCTCCTCCATCTCCCTCTCTCTCTCTCTCTCTCTCTCTCTCTTCTCCCTCCTTCCTCCTCTTTCTCATCTTCTTCTTCGAATCTGAGAGTGTGAGAGGTTATCAGTAGGGATTCAGACAGAGGTTATGTTGGGCGCATTGCCCAGGGTCTGATTCGACATTTCTGGGACAGACATTGATTGGACATTCGGCAAGGGACTATTTGGGGACTTCGCCATTGCGATCTTGGTCTACTCCCTCGCCTCCTTCCTCCTTCGTCTCGCCCCTCCCCCATCTCTCATCCGTGGCATCTCCCCATGTGCGTGCGCGAAGGAGGGACCTTTCTTCCATGATTGCGGTCCCTCCTCTCTCTCTCTCATGTGTGATGTGTGATGGATGTTGGGTCAGTCCAGATCAGATCAGATCTTCTCTTTAAAGTCTTCCGCCGTGCCACTTTGTGCCATCTTGTACGTATCAGAATGTACATTGCTTGTTGTTGCATTGTCCATTTCAGTCCTTTTCATCACATAGCGGATCCTTGGCTCCCTGAGCATTGCTACCCTGAGCATGCGTCAGTTTTGGTATCGGAGCTACGCGTGTGAATCAGGACGACCTGATCTGATGCGAGGGCGGGACAACCCACAATCGATTGGGTAAGTCACGATCGATCAATCGATTGATTGATCTCGGATTGGTTAATCAATCAGGATTGATTGATTGATTGATTGATTGATCGTTGATTGATTGATTAGGTTACACTAATTAGTCCCCAAAATCGCAGATTCCGACCTAACTGCCAAAATCGAAATTTTCTCTCCTTGTTGGGTCTCGTTTCCCCGCTATTTCTTTTGTGGTAAATCGCAAAAACAGGGCATCTGAGAGTTTCGTTTTTCTTTTGAAACCTGAAACTTCGTTGTTGGAGATCCAAAAGACTGAAACTTTCCGTTATTTCGAGGAATTTCGTGAATTGTTTTTTGAAGCCATCATTTCGAATTTTTTTTCTTGTTTCTGAAATTCGAAATTTCGCGGCAGAGAAGTCCGGAATTTTGTTTTTTGAAAAGTTTCGATTTTATCCCGTTACAAAAATTCCCGTTATTTATTCCGAATTTTTTTTTAAATTCGTTTTTTAATTCATTCTGAAATTCGTTTTTCATTTCCGAAATTATTTCTGAAATTCGTTTTTCACTTTCCGAAATTCGTTTTTCACTTCCGAAATTATTTCTGAAATTCGTTTTTCATTTCCGAAATTATTTCTGAAACTCGGTTTTCACTTTCTGCAATTCGTGTTTCACTTCCGAAATTATTTCTGAAATTCACTTCCGAAATTATTTCCGAAATTATTTCCGAAATTATTTCTGAAATTATTCCGAATATTTTTTTTCTGTTCTCGGAATTTTCTGGACTTGCGGGAACCGATATTTTTTTCTCTGTTTTCGCAGTCCTGTATCTCCATTTGACATTTTGATGCATTCGGCAGTCTGAAATTCGAAATTTGTGGCTCTAACTGCTGAGGGGATATCCTGGGCGACCATTCGATTGCCCACTCCCCTTCTCTCCACCCCAACCCTTCATCCCTTCTCCGCCCTTCTTACCTGCCCATTCACCTGCAGTTGCAGGCCAGGTAAGTCCTCGCTTCAGCAGGCCACGTCAGGGACCCGCAGCGCATGACCATACTTACTCGCTCGCAGACAGCAGCAATGGATCAGAACGCAGGCTAGACTGACGAGGCCTACGAGGCACGGCTGGTGGCCATCATGACCGAAACCAAGCAGCGGGCAGACGCAGCGGCAGCAGCACGGAAGAAGAACGAAGCAGAGGCAGAGCGACTACGTCTTCTGGCTGAAGAACAGCGGCAGAAGCACACAGCAGCAGCAGCCAAGGCCGCTGATGAGGAACGCGTACGGCGACGCGAGACCATATTCAGGGAGGAGAATGCACTTCACGCACAGGCCAAGGATTTGGCAGAGGGAGGCAGAGAGCGGCGAATCCGTCGACTACGGGAGCAAGGTATCTCATCTGCTCAACTGTGTCACGGACCTCCTCGCGACTTG